GAATTAACTGAAACAAAGAGAAAAGAGAGAAGTGGGGGAGAGGGTAAGAGGGTAAATGTAGTAAATGCAAATCAAACAATACAGGCAAATCAAGCAAACAAAGCAAACAAAGCAAACAAAGTAACAAAATTTGGAAACGTCCATGGCTGGGATAGATATTGTCCTACAACATACGTAGTAACAATGCATGATTCGTATATGTGGTGTGTTTCCATTTGTACTCTACCTAGGTATAAGACGAGATATATGGAAGCCTGACTAACTTGAAAACAATCCTATTATATCTGGTGTGGAGGAGTTATCGGGTCCTAAAATGGACTGCTTCTAGAGTTGCCGATCTCGCATATCATTTCCTATTCCCTCTTCTCGTTTAGAAATAGAATAACAGGTTCGGGTACTACAGTAAGGCTATCACGAACTGCTCTACTCTGTGTCCTGCCACATCATGCCAAGTCTCGTATTTGCCACGTCTCACTCCCAACAAATCTATGTATTTGATGAGGCTGTCTCTTCTGTAAAAGGGGAGACTTATAGGGTCCGGAACTAAAACCGGAAAAACAATTGATCCGAAATTAAGTGCCGTGGTCTCAGACTTTCCGATCGTCCAACTGTTGTGATTTTTGATTCATTTCCATTTCCACAATACATTGATGGATGATCATTGGCTGATATGCTGTGTCAAGTGGAAAAATAAGTGGGAAGAAGTGGAAATGTGCCGAACAAAGACGTGGACCACGTAATAACAGCCCCATAATCAGGACAAAAAGAGATTGAAAATTATGTAGCGAAATTAAGATGTATTTCCACATTCTCTCTTTATTGAAAGGGGCCATAAGATCGTTCTCTCTCCCTGTTCACTGTGTTTCACTGGACTGTTTCCAGATTTCCGATTCAAAGTAAGTCAGATCCACTTCTATTGATTCTCTCTCTGATCCCATACAAAGTAGTACCTTGCATGACACCAGCCATCTTTAAGCCTATCTTCACCATGACTAAAGTCACTCTGGGCTGGTTGCGATTGTGATTTTATAAATGGATAGGGGCCGTTATACTAAAGCTTCAAAACTATTGCGGTCTAATTTGCAACTTGGGACCTCTTATATCTAAAGTGTGCAACCTCGACTCTGGAGACTGTCTACATTGTATACTTTGGAACACCGTGCGCGTGTGATAGATCACAATGGATACAGAGACTCCTGTTCATATGGATGTTGAGAAGCAACCGGACACCCAGAGAACATCCAGTCCTTACCCATCCCATCCTGTTGCCCAGCTTCAGGGCCCGTTTGAGGAATCAATTATCGAAACGACCGATGGTTCTGGAACTAAATGGGTCGTTGACATCGACGCCCAAACGCGCCGACGCGATCTATTAGAAAATGATGAATACGAGCGGCTCTGTGGGCGAAAATGGCGCCAAAGGGCCTCTGAAAAGTGAGAACTCATACTCTGTCAAGTGTATGAACTGAACTGACCCATACAGGTATCATCCATTTTGGAAATTGATTTCCCAAATGGTCTTCGGTGTTCACCTCTTAGCCAAGAGCCTGGCAAAATCCGACACCTCAGTCATGAAGATTCTACAGAAACATGTGAATGAGTTGGATGGCTTTTTGGAAAGGACCACCGAAGACTTCTTGATCGTCCGACTAGACGTTCGCACGCGAATTCAGTATCTCAGTCTACCGCTGGGAAACCTTGATGTCTTCGATGAGATGCTGGAGGACCGGAATTTCCGGCTATCAGTTGTCGCCTATAACGATCAGATCGAACATGCCATTGAAAGATTCACCCTGGCCATCACAGACTCCCTGAAGGACCTACAAAAGGCAAAGGAGGCTATGGGCGCACTGTGGTTCTACTTCCGGAAACTTACAGACGAGGATTGCTTCAAATCCGAGAGCCTCAAGGCTTTCCATCAGGCCATGATGGACAATATGGAGGGCTGGATTGTGGCTATCTCAAAACTTCGTCGACGGGGCACTGCTCTTCAAAGGGCCCTGACCCAACTTGGCTTGGCGACTACAGAAATGCAACGACGGGTGGGAATAGCGAGTAGAAAGGATGTGGTGAGTTGACAGGCCTTGGTTTTTCGATTCCAGCGCTAACTATGGCAGCAATCATTCATTAAACAGACCAGCAAGACTGTGAATCGAAGCAAGTCAGTCAAACAAAGACTCTTTGCTAAAGAACGGCCCACATCAGAAAAACCTCTTCCTCGCGATCCATTATCGAAGTCAAAGAGGACACCAACGGCTTCCAAGCAGTTCGAGAGTCCTACCACAGTTAAAGATCAAACCGACACCCGTGCGGATACTGCGGATCGACCCATCCCGAGCGATGGCATTCGGCGCAGGATCATGAGTCGGGCCAAATCATGTAGTGCTCTTATAGCAGAAGCCGGCGCCGGCGCCGGCAACGAAGCACCACCTCCCCTTCCATCGACATCGGGAAGGCTCAAACGCAAGCTCTCCAAGCCCTTCGTACCAAAACGGTCTGCCAGCGAGAAAATCAACTCGGGCCAAGGTCGACCGAAAACAGCACCTTCACAACATTCACGACTCTCACGCAACATCTCCATAGAACAGCTGCGGGCATTCTGCACCACCCCACGCCCTCGAACTGGGAAATCCACAGTCAAATCGCCCACACAAGCGCGACAGGAGGCTCACAACCGATTCACGAATGGCCAAGAGACCTTGAAGGAACAGATATCCCAGTTCCTCAAGACGGACCGCGTGGTCGAAGCCTGGGATAGTGTATCCAAAACCGCGTGCTGTACACTCCCGATTGCCAAGACCAAAGATTGGCCGAGCAGCATATTCCGAACCAAGTCTTCTACTACCCTAGAAAATAAGGGCAACGACACAAGCCTCTCCGGGCCGGATCTGGACAGGCAGATGTCCTGGGTACAGGAGACATTCGACGTATTACCTACATACTCGTTCAAAGCGAAACCCGACATGTCGCCCCGGATCCATGTTTTATCGGTGCAGATGACCCATGAGGACGCTACTGGGGTGGCTGAGAGAGGGGCGAGTTTGGACTTGAAAAGTGAAATCCGGTCGAGTATTACCGCGTTGCCGGCTGTGCCGCCATCCATTCCACCGGTTAGTTAATGAAAAGAGCTTTGTATATTAATAATTGTTGACTTATTATAACTAGTCGAAGATTGCGTTGCGGCATCGATCTAGATTGGTCGACTATGCTCAAGCTTGAGGAAGTATGAGGAAGTATGTATGAAAGTGTAGTACATCATCACTCGATAGAGACATAGAATTATAGAGAATACAAACGAATATGCACAGCCAGCGTATTTATTAATATTTAATATAATAACTAACTAGTATTGGAATAATATGTAATTAATATACTCCAGTACTCCGTACTATGCGCTAGTCCACGGGTACTCATACAGCGTCAGCCCTGCGCCCCCCAACTGCGCCACGCAGTCACTTTGATTGGAAATCCTGTCGCTTTTCTTTCTCTTTTCCTTTTAATATTCTGAATGATAACCATTCCTCTCTTTTGAGTCCCCTTTCTTCTAAAATACTTCATTCAAAGTGTCAAGTACTGGTACAACTATCACCATACAAATACAGTGGCCAGACAAGTCACAGTACCTTCCCAGCCCGAAACTGCAGCCTAAAGTGCCAAGGACCCACCACTCTCACCAGCCCCCATTGACGTCGAACATCTCACATCCTTGAAGATTGGGTTCTTCCCTGATTTCGGATTTTTTTTTTCATTTTCTCCCTTCGTTGTCGCAAATAATTAGCCCCTCATGCCAGTCCTATACCCTCGATACTGGTGAGTACACTATGATGACCGGTCAAGAGACATATGCTGATCCCTCACAGCTCTGGTTATTATCAGGGTAATGACTGCTATTCCACCTGGGACTCTTGGGGTCGCTGGGTAGCGTTCGCCGTGATCGTCGGTGTAGCCTTCCTACTTTTCTTCAGTTTCGCGTGAGTCCTACCCTCCCTTGTCTTCCATGCGATCTAGATCCTAACAAGCCTTGTTTCAGATGCTTCAACGCACGCCGCCGCCGAACTCATGGCCAGCGCCCTATCACAGGAACCGGGTGGATGGCTCCTCCCCCGGGACCTCCTCCACCAAACCAACCCATTTACCAGCAACCTCCCTACGGCGACCCTTACTACCAGCAAAATGCGCCTCCTCAATACAGCCCGAACCCTCAGCACCACGGCTACTTTGGTGCGCAAAACGCATCACCACAGCAGCAAGGCATCGAATTGCAGCAGCCTCCGAATGCGTATGGTGCCAATGGATATGCGCCGCCTCCTGGCCCGCCGCCCAATGGCCGCAAGGACTAAACTCATACGCATCTTTCCGAAGCTCAGTGAGCATGGAGTTGAAAGTCTTCCGATATTGCATGTCTCTCGATAAATGTGCCGGAAGTTAATGGTTTACGGCGTTGTCAACTGCGAAATACGGACTTTGTTTTTTATTTGATCGCATACCCGCGTGGGCGGATGGTTTTTCTTTTACTACTTAATGCTTCCTCATGTCTTCCATGTCATATTTAACTGAAGTTCAGCTGAGTTCAAGCATTTACTCTGCAGCCCGAGATCCCTGAAAGAATGGGACTTGGGGTCTATGAAGTTCCAAGGTTCTCTCGCACATTTCTCTCTAATGATAATGTACATCCTTAAGCCAAGTGGACTTGAATAGAATAACCCAAATTAGAAATACGCTTTCGAAGTTCACTGGCTCTAATTGATTCACTGGGCGATCGTGTAATTTGTCGCCTGGTTTCAGAGCAGAAGGTCCAATTGGCACACACTTTGAGATTGGGCCAGTTGAATTCGCCAATTTAACTCAATTCTCCATTGTAAACCAGCCTCGCAGATACATGAACATATATTCAGATTGACATTTCGACATAGCGGGCTGATTAGTGCCTGGGGCACCCCATCTCCGCCCTATATCGCGCTCCGCCCTGCATTTTCCTCAATGCGACAACCTCCAAGCCCATGGATATCGACGACATTCTCGCGTCAGTGGACCGCGGCCCAGGAGCCAGCCCGGAGTCCGCAGCGCTGGACCACCAGCTGCTCACGCGCTTCTGGGTAGCCGAACGCGCCGTGTCGGAGGTACTACCGTGGCCGGCGCCACTGATGGAACGCATAATGGACCGCGTGCGGAGACAGGTATACACACAGCAGCTACACAGCAATACTCCCTAAAACAAGATCGCTAATACAATCTGACTACAGATCGAAACAATCGAAGATATAGCCGCGTCGTCAGAAACAACCCTCCCAACAACCGCAAACACTCACAACCCCAACCTCAACCTCCGCCTCTCAATCCTCCAAACCGACCTCGCCCGCAGTCAATACATAGTGCGCAGTCTTTTACGAGCCCGACTAGCCAAAATAACAAAATACAGCATGCACTACCTAGTCCTGCTAGCCTCGCGCAACAAAAACCCCGCGTCACAGACACAATCAACCGCCTCTTCACAGAACCCGAACCAGCAGCCCGAGGACTCCGTCCCGGATATATCAGAGCTGACGGATCTGGCGCCGCTGTCCGAGCCGGAAACTTCGTTCCTGCATGCGCACCAGACGCTTCTGGCGGGCCACTACGCGGGCTCGTTTATGGGGGCATTCCCGCGGCAGCTGAGGCGGTTGGATGATAATGCTGGTGGGACGAGTATGATCCAGGGGCCGGAGTTGAAGGAGGTTGTTTTTGTTCGGTGTCTTGGGGCGGAGGTTCCTGTTGTTGGTGGGGGGGAGGAGGAGGAGTATGAGACGGGGGTTACGATGCGGATGGGGGATGTTTGGGTTGTCAGATGGGAAGGGGTTAAGGGGGCTTGGGGGAGAGGGGAGGTGGAATTATTGTGATTTTGAGTCTTTTTGGGTCTGTGGTTTGATATTCGACTTCATCATAGCGGAGTGGCGTTTGGGTTATTTTATGATATATTTTCTTATTTCTATGATTGGGACTTTGTTTCTACGATGAAGATAGATCGAGAGATACTATGCATGTCCTGCCGAGGCAGTTTCTATTGGCCTGTCAGTAAATATCAAATATCGTCAGATGGGTTTCTATGAGTATTTCATTTCTTTCGATCCCTTAAAAAGACGCCAATCGCTAAGCTCAGAGAAACACAAGCACACAAAGCCTGAAATCAAATATACACACCGAGACGCGAGGACAACCCCGATCATAAATTCATAACAAGCCAGAGCAAATGAGTTGACCAGATAGAAGGCAGATGCGATCACTGAGATAGTCTGATTTCATGCGACATATCCATAGGTGGGTGGCTCTTCAGAGACTCGCTCCAGGTATTCGCGGTCAATCAGACTTTCAATGCGCCGCTTGATCATGTTCACGTCTGGAACAAAGCGAGCGGAGAGTTGCGAAAGGGTCTCAGTCATTAGTTGAGAATGCGTAAGCGTTTTGCGTTGTCTGCCAAAGGTTAGTTCGTCAGACCATATACGAGCATTGTATGGAGAAGGAGACATACTTCATAATGCGGACGATGGCAGCTTCGATGGTACCGTTACGCTCGTCATTCATCTTCTTTTCAGTGTCCTTGCGTTGATCTTGGTTCTCGACCTTGTTCGCACCGCCGCTGACAACTCCGATACGCACTTTTACGAAGGGGCTCTGGAAATCATGGTTGAAAAGGAAGCGGTCCGTGGACTTCACATCCTTGCTCATAGGGTCCTTCTTCAGAACTCGAGTCTTTGGCGCAACGGCGAGCGATTGCAAGTTGCGGGTTAGGTCGTGGTCTTGAATCTGGGTGCGAGTTTTGATTTCGTCATAGGTGAGGGCTTCGCCGTCTGGGATGTCGTTGAATAATAACAGGATGACCATGGCATATGTCGACACGTTGAGTTCATAACGCTGGACTTTGCCATTGGAACGTACGAAAGTGGCTCGAACATCGCCAGTGCCCATGCTAGCTTGCCACGACAGTTTGCGGCCACTATGCTTGTCGAGATAAAACCTCTCAAAGCTTTGCTTCAGTGTATCAATCTCCCTTGGGAAGATGCAAGGCAATTGGACCATTCCCTCTTTGCTTGCCATTATTTCCATCGGCCACATGGTACTGGTGAGAACGTTGATCTCCAGGTCCACGGGTTTTTCGTCAGGATCACCACTGCGCGCAATGTGCTCCTTGTAATTGTGGGTAAGATCTTCCGAGATGGTCATATCTTTGAACATGGACTCAATGCGTTGAGTAAACTGGTTACCGACCTCCAATTTCATCTTGGAGATCATCTGTCGCTCTGCATCCATGCTGACAGAGCGTTTCATCAGAAGACGGCGTGATAGATGTTTCTTATAATATGTCTCAAATAGATCCTTGTCCTTGACGTAGCGCAACAGTGTGATACCGTTGTCCAGGAGAACATCTACCTCGCTTTCTGTCTTTCCCTTGATGCCCTTCTTCAAATTTTCATCGAAGAAGAGAGACAGATACTCAGAGTTCCGCACGTTCATGTTGATGAAGTTGGCAAAGCTGGCCCCAATCGAGCCCTGCATGCCCTGGTCAGAGGCGAAGGCATTCTCCCAAATGTTATCGAATTTCCGCTTGAGGCCAAGGATGTCATCGACCCAGCGAATTGCCGACACTGTTTGCTGATTCTGAGGCTTTTCCTTATCTTTCCCCTTCTCGGGCTTTTTCTCTTTTTCGCCATCTTTCTCTGCCGATGGAGCTGGGGCTTGTGGTAAGAGTATAGACGAAGCATTGATTTCTTTGCCCATTTCCACAATCCGCTTGTTGACCATGTTCGTCAAAGCTTGCTTCTTCTTGTCGACTCTTTTATTGAGCATGTAAACATTCTGTAGCCCCTCCAGCTGATCGTGATCCAGCATGCGCCGGACACCGGTTCCCTCAAGATTGACGACCTCGTCAATATTGATCCGGATCAGCTGCTCGTCAAGCAACTCAAGGACCTTCGGCTCTGTCATGACCGACAACACATAACGGCATCGCTCCTCCTCTCCAGTGATCCGCTGGGTTGCGAGTCGGCAGAACGTGGCAGCATCTCCCATTTCTAACAGCCGTTGCCCTTCTGCCTGGTAGAACTCCTTACTCGTTTCGAGAAAGGCTGGTTCAAACTCAGTTAGATAAAGCTTTGAACTCTCCTCCTCTGTAGCAGTTTCGTAGAGGCCCTCCAACATTTGGATGCAATGCCGAATAAGTGGTCGCTCAATTATGTGGCCAGAACGTTCCAGTTGGATCATAAATAGTATGGTAGATTCGAGCACATCCATAACAGTTAAAGCAGATCCAGCACGGACGGGAGCTCGGAGGATATGGTCTCGGAATAGAGCCATACAGGCAACGTAGATGGGTGGGTGAGTACGGCTTGCTACCATGCGGTCCTGCGTGAGGAGTTAGACCATTGTAGTAATATCCTAGAGCGTAAGAAACTCACCATGTACATTAGAACATCGGTAACCATTCCCATGCCCAATTGATGATCTTCCCAAGCATCCTTCAGGACAGTGAGGAACTTCTCCCCCGCCTCCCTCCTCTCACTCGACTGGTCCTGCGCATCGGTGGATTTTTGCGCCCGTACGAGGCTCGAAGAAATCGAATCGATAATGAGGGTCCGGACATTGGTCTTCAGCCAGTCTTGCTCCAGTTGTTTGACTTGTTCGTAAAGATCAGGAGCCCGCATCATCAACACGATCTTGTAGGCATGGCGGTAGATCTCTTCGAATGCCAGGGTTGAGGCATTTTTAGTATTAATCTCAGTTAATGATGATGAGAGAACTGTCCATATAGAATCGAAATCTTCGGTATTGGCATGGGAGACTCCCTAGAAGTATAGTTAGCGGATAGCTTCATAGTTTTGACCCCGCGATCAACGAACCCTTCGGGGAGCTCGAATCTTGTGACGAGCCCTCATTGCTGCCATCTTGAAGGCCACAGTAAAACCAAGAGAAAGTGAGTAAATAGAGAACTCAAGTAAAAAAGAGAGGTGAAGAAGAACTGCGCTCTTCTCTCCGCGGAGGCCAACCCCGGAAATTCTAAAGTTCCGCCTGTCGCTGACCGAGCATCGTCATTTCAGTGTTTTTCTTTTCCACCCGAATAGTCTCTCTTCGAGTTGCAAATATCTCTATCTTTGAAATTCTTTCTCGGCTTCTAAATACCTTCACCCACACTATCACCATGCGCCCCTTCACCTCGGGTCTCCGCCCATTGAATGCCCTCGTGTCGCAAGCACAGTCATACACTACTATTGCGCGCACACAATCACGCTTCCTCTCAACACAATCCCTCTCTCTAAACTCAGCTCGCCCGTCATATATTCTCTCTCGCTCGCAGCGCATCCTTGCCCAGACCCAACTCCGATACAACTCCCGTGCTCCTCGCCCTCTCACCGAATCACCCAAGAGCCAGGCGGAGCAAGAGGCTGAATGGGAAGCACAGAACCAGGAGCGTCGCAAGGACGAGGAAGCCTACCGCATTACATTCACCTGCAAGCCGTGTGGTCATCGCTCTGCGCATCGCATGTCCAAGCAAGGCTACCACCGTGGAACTGTCCTTATCCAATGTCCCTCGTGTAACTCGCGCCATGTCATGAGTGATCACCTTGGTGTCTTCTTTGAAAAGAAGACAACCCTGGAAGACCTTTTGAAGGAGAAAGGTCAGACATTGACCCACGGCCATACGGATGGCAACCTGGAATTTTGGGAGGATGGGTCTGTGAAGAGTTACGACTTGGAGGGTAAAGAGATACTGGCAGCACGCGACGATGATAAGTCTTGAGTTTATTTCAAGTGTGATTCCTACACAGATTCTTTGTGGATTTGGTGTATAGCAGGTGTTTTGTTTGTCTCGTTGGGCATGTATATTACGGCGATGGAAAACTCTCTACTCTCAGCATGGCAGGATCCAAGCATCGACGAGAAAAAGGATATATTGGGGACTTTGTACATTAGAAATCAGTCAACTACCTTAATTCCAAGGACAACTCAATATCTAAAAAGACTACGCATATTGAGAAAACATGAGGTTTGTACAGAAGAAATCAAATTGTTCTGAGAAGGTATATACAATGCAAGTATAATATAGTGATCCATTCCACCAACGCCCAATTTTTTGTATGCCAATAACACCATTCCACGACACATGCAAATAGATACCAAATCCTCTACCAACCGCGTCTCTTTCCACGGTGCTCCAAGCCCTTCTCACGGCGCTTGTCTCTCTTCCGCTCATTCTTCTTCATCTTATCACGTCCGTGCTTCTCAGGGTCAGCAACGGCGTCGATGCGACGCTTGGCCCGTCGTCCTTCACGACGTTCCTTGATGGCCGCCTGGACCCTAGAAATTTGCTCCACATACTCGGTGGTGCCGAGTTTCTTCTGGAGAAGATCCAAGACCTCGTGGCAGTTGGAGACGATAGACTTGTACGTGTTCTGGAAGGTCTCGTCTGAGGATCGTGGCGCCGGGATGGATGGATCCGTCAGATGCTGCAGGGGAATGAGGATGACACGCAGAGAAGGACGGATCTGGTCAACCTCGATGTGGCGGATGAGCGCGGCAAGGAGTGTGATGGAGGCTGTCTTGGGGACGAGGGCGTTTGCTCGGCCGGAGATAGTTTCCCGCCGCAAAAGGGAGGAGACCTGCTTGAAGATGTAATGGATCGCAGATCTGTTGTATTCCATCTTGGCTCCCTCCTTTGCCCCTCCTTCAGCTTCACTGCCAGCGTCCTCATCCTCGTCCTCGTCTTCGGATTCAACATCCTCGCCTGCCAGCTTCGGAAGTTCGAGACCGTTTTGGGAACAGCAACGTCCAAGGAAGACAGTGTTGCGTACACTCTGCATAGCAAGTTCCTCGGAAATGCCCGGGGTACGCAGACTGCGCAGACTGGCACGAAGAAGCTGCAGCATGGCCGGCTTGTCCATGGCGAGACCGGAACTTCCACTCAAGGGTAGGGAAGTGTAACCAGCGGCGGCATTTGTCTTGGCCAGATCAGCCATCCACAAGCCTACAAGGTTTGCAGCACAGGTCTTGACCCATGCGTGGGGGAAGAACAAGCACTCCTGGACGGAAGTCCAGATAGAAGCGCATTCCGGACTCAGAGCAAGCGCGGAAGCCGACTTGCAAAGCTTTGTGAAAAGTTGCAGGGCATAGTAAAGAGCTTCCCAATTGCCATTCTCATGGTCATCAAGAACAGGCTGCATCAAGCCGGGAAGGATGTCGACGACGAAACGAGCCTGTTTATCCTTCTCGGTCTGCTCGGCCTCGAAGTAGATCCGCATGGCCTGCAATCCAATACTGCATAGAGCCATGTTGTTGGTCTGCTCCAACCACGACCGAAGGGGAGTAAGGATAGTCTTCATCTGCTCCCGATCCGCACGGTTGAAGAACTCTCCTAGCAATGTACCAGCCAATTCGCGGCATTCCGGCGACTCGTCGTTCGCCATAGCAAGGACGATAGGCAGGAAAAAGGTGCTGATGATATCCTGTGCCAATTCTGGGCCGGTTTTCGAAAGGAGCGCGTGCATCGCCTCCATAACTGACTGCCGTCCGGACTGATGCTTGTAGTCCAGGTTCTTTGCGAAGAAAGCGAGCTGCTTGTTCCAGCGACTCTTTGCCTGCGGGTACTCGATCAGGAAATGAATGTAGGTACCGCGGGCAAGATCCCGGGCAGACCGAGTCTGGTTCGTCACCATCATAGTCGCGATGTTGTCCATAAGCTCATACATCTCGGGAACGACGAGCTTCCGGGACATGACGGCGCGGATGAAGTTGAAAGTCACACCTTGGCGATCTGGCTCCTCGATGTCGGAGGCCAGACGCTTGAGCAAGTATGCGAGATGTCCGTCACGGAGCTTGGTGTCCTTTCGTTCTCGCAGCATGGAAGAAATCAACTTCAGGGAGGCCTGTGCCGCTTCGGAGTTGGTGCTAGGAGACTCCTTAACAAGTTTGACTGCTTCGGTGAAATAGACGTGTGAGTTCTCGTCAATCTCTGGTAGAGGAAGCTTGATAATCGTGGAGAGCAAACGGAGAGCAGAAACCTTCACTTCCTCCTGAGACTGAACAAGCGCATCACCAATGATGGGAATGAAGCCCGACAAGTTAGAAGCTGTCAACAACGAATTGAACTTGTTGAGGATAGCACGAAGCACATCCAGCGAGAACCGAGTCAACTTGTAAACATGAGAAGATGTTGTACCTCGGTGCTCGCCCCGCTTGGCTCCTTGCAATCGGACTAAGAACCGCTCCTCGTACCTGGTCTTGGGCGCAGCTGGGCCCGCATCTGGGGCATTGTCCCGATAGGCCTCTTTGATGACCTCGTAACAGAAGACCAACATATCGCGACTTTCGGCGTCAGGGTTTCTCAGAAGACCGATGGCAATTCTTCGCATGAGCTCATCGAGCTTGTTGACTAGCTTCGAATTGAGCTTTTCGCATAGGAGTGCCTGCAGAGGTCTAACTAGGTTTGACAATTGGCTGATAGTTGAGACCTTCGCAAGAAGCTCCATAGAGTCGTAGCTCTTGCTGCTCTTGACCTCCTGCATTTTGCTGGTGTATCCTTCAGCGTCCTTTTCTTGGCCGACTGTGCCAAAGGTATCGTCCATCACAACCGCAACCAGTTCTTTCAAACAGTAATCCAAATCTCCTTGCTTGAAGTGATCAGTGGTGGTCACAAGCATGGAATGAACGGTGAATGAGAGAACGTGAAGCTGATAACCTCGGGCGAGAACATTGCGAAGTTCCTTGAGGATATAGCCGAAATAAACAGGACCCAAAAGGAGAGCAAGCTCATTGAGTGTTTTCCGTGCAGTGTCACGGGAATCCTGTGCTTTACTCTTGAGGGTTGTGCATACATCCAGCAGGACCGGCGGGAGACGAATAGCCAGTTCTTCTTCGGGGAGAATCTTGAGAAGCTTGACCGTGGTAATCGAAGCGGGTAGACGCATACTCATCTCCTTCTCTTGCTTATGGTGGATGTAGTTAGTCAGGAAAGGAATGAAGTTTGTGGTCAACTCCGTTGAAACCTTGGTAAGAGAAGGAACAGTCTTGGCGAGTGTGCACATGGGCTGCTCGACAATATCCATCTTATCAACCTCACCATCGGTCTGCTTCTCTGTCCCCTTCTTTCGGTTCATGGCACTAGACAACGCATCGGACATGCGGCCCAGCAGTCTGAGAATGTTCTTCTCCTTTTCAGGCTTGCTTGTCACGTAGCTGCGGTACCTCCGGAAGTTTGCTCGGAACTGGCCCCATTCCAACCATTCTGAGAGAACGCCAAGGGTCGCAACACCCTCGGCGATCAGGTTGTGCGCATTTTCATCAGCAGCATCCTCGAAGATGAAATGCTCAATGAGAGGAATGAAAATGGTGCCCAGATTCGTAGCCTGAATGTTGCCCTGAGCTGCGTCTCCAGCCAGACGTCGCAATGCACGTTGCCGGCGGTGCTGTTGGATATGGAGAATGTTGGTGAAGAAAGAGGCCTCCTCATCATCACCGACGAGAAGAACGTGCATGTCCTGCACGGAGGGTCTGGTGGGGTTGAGTTTGACAAAGTAGCCAATGACAGCGACGACTTCAGAGCGAATAAGCTCAGACTTCTGTCGGATGCCGTATTGCAAAGAGGGAATCAGAACATCATTGATGAGTGCCTCAAAGTCCGCATCTGGTTCCGTGGACGCTCTGTCTATGAATCGTCTCAGACCAAAGGAGGCGCTAGATCGGATAGCAAGCTCATCTTCATCCCTCAAATGGAAAAGCATATTGTAGAGAAGAGGTTTCCACTGCTTCGCGCTCAAAGTTTGAGATAGTTCATCGCTGACTATTCTGAAAGCCTGCAAACGTCTCGCATAATCGGGTTCGAGTCTTGTAGTTGAGCGAGAGTTTAGATCCGCACACAAGTCGGCAACTAGCTTGAGGTTCTCGTCGTGCGTAGCAAAGGCACCAAACACCCGGGCCAATACTTCTCTGTTCGCATCATCCTTGAAGTAGTCGAACATCGAGCACACCGCATCAAACACTTGTTGGGCAAGCTCCGCATCTTCCTTGGGATCCCACAAGGGCAAAAAGTGTTCGAGAATCTTCAACAAACCAGACTTGGTTCTGGGGCTGACACGATCCGCGGGCTGACGAAGCAGATATGTCGTAATTCCGATAAGACTAGCAGTCTCTTTGGAAGATTCAACGCAGGGGGCGATCAGGGAAAGAGCATTGACTCCGGAATAAAGAACTGGCTTCGACGGGCCTCTCTTAAGAAGACGACCGAGATGGAAGAGGGCGTGTTCCAGGTAGGGAGAGAGGACTTCGGATTTAATTTGCTCAGCTGGAATATCAGGCATCTCTTCGGTTTCCTGCAACTTTTTGCCCGTAGACTGCTCAACCAACGGGATGAGAACCTCATCCAAGATAAAGTTCTTCACTTCATCGCGGGCAGACTCGACCGCGAGACAGTCAAGTACCTTAGCCAAGACCTTGTCATTGTGCTGCACCAAGTAGAACGTTGACCTTGAGGCAGCGGCCCAAGTGGAGAACAGTCGCAGAAGGCCTGAAACACCCTGCGCTGTCTCAATAGGGAACTGATCCAGTCTGCTGTCAATCATCTCCTTGAAGATGATACGGACGTAGGGAGTCCAATCATGGTTCGGGACAATCGAGAAGACCAAATTGAGACAGCGAATACACGCTGAACGAATATTTTGGAGTACAGGCAACAGGCGTTCATCCGAGCGATCGCTACTCTCGTTGTAAATCACCCGGCATGCTCGCACCAAGCAGTAGACAACCACA